AACTAGAGAAATACCAGGGGCTCAGTGAACAGCTGGAAAAAAACATTTAAGGTCAAGGCATCAGTTGTGCCCGTAGTCATTTGGGCACTCGGGGCTGACCCCCAAACTTGAGGAGTGGTTACAGCAGATCTCTTGAAATACATCAAACATCTTGGTCCAGAAAAGTGCAGTTCTAGGAACAGCAAAAATACTGCGCAGAACCCTCACTCTCCCAGGCCTATGGTAGAGGACCAGAGTTTGGAAGAAACAAAGGGAGACCGCCCGCGGTGGGTGAGGAAAAGTTTTTTTTTTTTTGTTCATCCATTATCTTCTGATCTGTTAGGTTCATCCTGCATATCTCCAGCAGTCTATGGACCAAACTAGGGATACACCTAAGACAGGTTGCAAGTTGCAAGTCTGTTGCAGGTTCACACAGCGACACACAACCCTGAACACCCACACATCTGAGGACAATTTAGAGATACAAATTTACCTAACAGTCATGTTTTTGGACTGTGGGACGAAACCGGAGTACCCGTAGAGAACCCAGCATACACAGAGGGAACATGCATACCCAGTACAGAAAGACCCTGGGTCGAGGCCAACTTCATCATTTTCCAGTGTTTCATGTCATAAACAATGTATTTACAGAAACATCTAAATCAACATCAAAGTTAGGTTTCCTAAGGGGTCTTCCTGCATTTTTCACCTCAAAGCACCGTTTAATGTGTTCTGGCAATATTGCAGATTTTTAAATCAAACAGGGATTTACATAGAAAAGCATACTGTATGGATGTAGAATATAAAAACAGCCCTCTTGCTCTTGGCGTATTGGTGTATAATCTGGACCCCAAACCATCATTATGCTGAATACCCACCTGATTCTGAATATAGGCATGAACCCTTTCAAGCATTCCTTCACATGTATATTCATAGGGCAGGAACGGCTCCACCTGCAGAAAATTGATGATGATGAAGAAGAAACAGAGGAAGTCAGTGTGTTGTTGGTATGTATCTGCATGTTTAGAGCTAAACCATTGTAATTACAGCAGCTGAGCATCTACTAGTTATTCCCAGCTGACATATTCATTAGTGTAATTGTAGGAGACTTAAATCATGCCACAAGTTTCGCATAAAAATCAATGACCTAATACATCAAAGGTGGCAGTCTTGAAAATTAATTTCATTATTATATTTGGCGATGACTACATCAATAAATCATACAATGGATTAAAGATCCTGGAGCACGAGGGTGTTTTAATACAATCTGGACCATGCTTGTGCTTTTATTGGGGGGGCTTTTGACGTTTTTGGGTTCTGCTGGTAGAAAATGGTTTGAAATTTTCTGAGATGCTAATCGGTTAAACTTTTTTTTTCTCTGTTTGATACACTTGACTGAGAGGATTCACAACAAACTGGTGTCTTTCGAGACAGATAAACTACATTCGGAAGCTGTTGAAGTTTGATGAGATCAGGAATTATTTATTGAAATGATGAGCTATTTTGCCAGGTTCTCCTGTGGTAGTTTCTCACTTTAGATCCTCCTCATGGTAGCTAAACTACAACCTATAGTTCCGATCAGACCAACAGTGTTTTCCTTCATTTAAATTGATAAATGGTTCTTTTTAGTGTTCTGTTGCTTCTAGCTATCTCTTATTACATTATTTTATCCGAGTTAAATGAAATGTATCTGGCACCTCATCAGCTGTTCTCGGCTGCAATTTGCCTTTTGGGCATCTTTATATAATTGAAAGGAAGAAAAACAAATCATGTCTGGTCATTTGAATTTCTGTAAATAGAGCTTTTGTTTATGTAGGATAGAATTGTGCAGTGGAGGAAATATTAATTTGATCTGCTTTTGATTTTGTAAGTTTACACCAAGAGTACTTACTAAAGCAGTTCTTCATTTTAATGGAGACAGAAATTGAGGAAATTGAGGGGGGGAAATATATTACATTGGTTACTTGAATGATATTGTATGAAAAAGGGTATTTTACTCCCTAGAAGAAAAGCAACAAAATACCAGTACCAACACAACATGATGCTGCCCAACCTGTACTTCACAGTTGTGATGTTTTTATTTCTATTTTGTATATATCATTTTAATTGCTATTTCAAGCTAAACACTAAGATTTCAGTTTAATGAAGACAAAGGACATGTCTACTAAAAAAGAAATCCTACTTTCTAACTCAACGCACTAACGTCTGTCTTTATGCTGGTGTCAGACTAACTGCTCCTTCCTTTCTAAGCAGCCTTTAAAACGTCAGAATTTATTTTATTCTAAATTATAAATAATTTGTAGAGACTTGAATGGAATTTTCAAGATAATTCTAATCTAGGCTTGATAATTTCTAAATGTTTTACATTAATTCACATTTATTTCTTGGATACAGCACCTCTGTCCTTTGTGAGTGGTGTTATACAGTAGATAGACACTTGCATATCACAGCTTAAACAGGTGAATGCGGCACTGTAAGGCATCTGGATAAAAGCTGCCATTAAGTATGCACCATACTCTTAGAGGTGTATTCTTGATCTCTTGCCTGATTTATTTTACGTTTTGCTCGAAAGCTAAAACACTGAAAACATTGTTTGAGATTTTATAAAATGTTTTTTTTTTCTTTACTACATTTGAAATTTTAAATCAAATGTTCCACCTTTGCTTTGCTAGCTTACTTTGCATACTGTGTGCAAGAGTTGATTTAGCACCATCCAAAGGTAACACAATCCACCTATCATCACAAAATAATTACCATGTCCACACAAAAGCAAAGTCTTACCAAGCAGACTAGTTGCTTGGCAACAGAGGCTGTGGGAACTTCTCCCATTGCTCATAGCCTATAAAAAGTCAAACGCAAAGCCCCTTGAGAACTTTGAGACCTTGGCATTTTGTTGGACCGAATGCAGGATGTGATGTGTTGACGATGATTAAAGGCCTTAGTGGGTAGATTTTGTGATAGAGCCAGATAAGCTTTTTACATTGTTGACTAAAGTTGAAAGTGGCCAGCCTAATCAAAAAATCCCTCAAACCCTAATAACCTTAATAAACCTTAAATATATACAAATCATAGCATTTTTTTGTATCTATGTTTAAGATTTTATTTGTTTTTTTTTATTCATTTTTACTAGCAACAAAACATAAGTGACACCTGATTCCTGTTTGGTTTTTGTGTGTAATAATATAATCTCCAGCCTGTGCTCTTCTGCCATTATTCATTTTGCATGTCGAGTATTGCAATATCTTCCCGTTGAATCAGCACTTTAAGGTGTCTAACAGGGTTACGACTTGTACTTTGTTTTGCCTCTATCAGCAGGAAACACCTGGCTGGTAGAAGTGCAGATGCGTTTCTGCACAACGAGAAGTTTGGCAGTGACTCTGGGTTGTTCTGGTGACAGATTGAGAACAGCGTGATTGATTCATTCAATGTAATGCAAACAACGCTCGCTGCCTGTGGGGCTAGCCTTCAGAAAGCTGCTGTGTAAAACCAGGTGTGGGCACAGTTTACCAGTGAAGCCACTCAATATCTGCAACAATTAGAAGCGAAGAGAGCAGAGAGGAAGCCAGCTAAGCAGTCTGTTATAATGTCAGCTGTCAAGATTAAGAGAAGGGTCAAAAAAGTAGGTCAAAGCAAGCTGAAAGAACTCATTACAATCACAATGTGTTTTAATATGTAGCAGCATGCACTTTAGTTTAGGCAGAAAACACATGCAGTTAACGTACATCGATCTTCATGATCTCACGTATGGTTGCTTCAAATACTTCAGAGTTATTGAAGTCAATGGTGATGACATGCGGCCTGCCGATATACTCCTCTGCGTAGGGATGTTGAGAGGACACCTGTGACAGGCATAAAAAGGACTTTTTTAAAATCACAGTAAAAGTAATTTGTTCAGACTAAACTATGAAGTGTTCTTCTTAGTGGATTTTCTTATAGTCACATTTTGTCAGCTTATAGCCACAAACTTCAGTACCTTTTATTGGGATATTAATGTGATACACTAAGGCAGTAGCACAAACATTTGCAATGCATAAAAAAAAAAAAAAGCCTGTGTCAATTTTGCTATAAAAGGAAAAAAACTGAAACAAATTGTGTTCAGCCGAAACGAAAACTTTCACCTTGAGTCTCCCTCATGCTTATTACTGTAAAATGTGAGGGTAAGTTTCCACCACTTTTTAACATTATATAGATATATTTTTAAGCTGAACATATATTTTTACCTGATCACACTTTGAAAAATACCTAATTCTCATTAAAACTTTATTGCTGCAAAAGGGTAATTTCAATTACATCTGTAATTGTGTTATGTGCAATTAACAGTCATGTTAGAGTCTTTCTAAATAAAAAGATCAGATTCAAATTTTAACTACTACTCTGCCATTTTAACACACATGCATACCCTAAGGGTTCTAGTCATATACTGTAGCTTGTGTTGTGTTGTCCTGCTGGAAGTTAAGCTTTTACCCGTGTCTGAGGTCCTCCAACATGTTTTTTTCCAGCATTGCAAAGGTTTTAGCTTCATCTGTCATCCTATTAACTCAGATTCGCTTAATGTGATACTGCAACCACCATGTTTCATCAAAGTAAGAGTTTTTTTTTTTCAGAGAAAGGTTTAGTTGGTTTTCTTTCACACATTGTTTTGCATAGTAGTCAAGTTATTTTGTTTCAATGATGTCTGACCAGATAACTTCTAGCACTTGAGTGACAAATGTGACTTCCTTTGCTTTTCTTACTAAAGTTTATTTCTTTCTGGTTTTGTTATATACAAATCTTTGAAGGGAATGATTAATAATTAAAATGTTTATTACCATGTTGAAGGGGTGATTGAATGAGTGTAGTAGTAAAACACTGTGAAGTCCTTAAACTTAATAAAAACCTTTCCAAAATTAGGCCATTTAGCATGTTATCAATTCAGTTTCAATAGCAGTTAGTTGCACTAAATTTTTAATTTGAGCAAATCTAACACATTTTTTCCCAACAAAACACATTAATGTTTGGATTTGTTATCGGAGGTAATGTGAAGTGGTCAATATTTTTGCAACAAATTTCACATGTAGAAAAGCAGGCATGATGAAACTTAAACAAACCATATTTTAGTTATGCTAATGTATCAGAGCTTTTTCAGCCATCGGGTTCATAACAGCTTCTAAAACTGGGTAAATATATCCCCAGCACACTCATATAAGTTACAGCTCCTGATGCCCTTAGATAACTGCCTTAAGTAATGATTAAAAAAGTAGAGCTTTTGGAGGGTTGTTCATCTCAAGAATACATGTTCTATTTAACACAAGATAAATAAGCATTTGTTGCTTCTGAACTTAATGAATGGAAAACATTTGAGCCAACTCCACATTTATTCAGACCGAATGTCTCACCAAGTTTCCCTTTGAGGTCAAACTGTAAAAACATAAGAAAAAAATGCAAAATACTGCAGTATAAACCAAAACACTGAAGTTAAAAATGTCTATGCAAAAACCTTATAGGGACGTTTTAACAAGCTAAGCCTTTTGAATACACCGGGAAACATCGCTTTGTCTTTGCTTTTTTCCTCTTGCAACAACAATCAAAGAAGTGTTTTACAAAATACAACCTAAAGCAAGACCTGATTTGTTTATAACAAAATACTATGTTATGATTCATGATAATGTGCATTAATAAAGCAAATCTCACCATATCCGTATGTATATTTTATGGAATAATTTGATATTAAGAACATTTGATCATTACATTATCCCTATGTACTCTGTAAAGAACAAACTCAGAAGTATAAAGAAAATAATGATCATTGTTTATAAAACTTAGCTCTTTGGTAGAGCTGGACTGGACTACAGGCAGTATAAGCAAATGGTAGGGGGGCTGTAGCTCTGTTAGGGTGCACTGGGTGCATCAAGTTTTTTGTTTGTTTTCAAACAGTCTATAACTAACATGCTATATATAGTTTTATTTATTGAGTTTAACAAACCACTAGTCAAACAACACCTTGTCAGCAGTGCAGAGTATTCCAGTCGGTGCACCCTGCTACCAAGATACCAGCCAGACAGACAACACAGAGAGTGTTAGCTTAGCTTTATCAAGCACCCAGTAGCAACCAACCCAACAGACACTTCCACACACACATCAACTGGCTGGCCATCACCTCAAAATGCCCTTCTTGAAAAAATATTTACCTAGCTTGGTTTGGGATAAATATTATTCAGATATACAGATATAGTAGTCGGTATGTAAATAATAATAACAATAAAAATGTAGGAGCTGGTATAATATTATCTAAAGCGAAATATAAGACTGTCTAGTTTCAATTTCCCAATAGTAATCTAATATTGTTCAGTCATACTTGTAATAGTTGAAAAGCTTCCATTGCAATGTGTTTTGAGCTGCTATGATTAACCAAGGTCTACTCCTACTTTTTCTGTAAATATTGACAGAAGGCAGGCCTAATAAGGCTTATCATAAGTAAAACTTAAACCCATTAAATTCTTTTCAGAGGTGTTTTTTTTGTATCTTTGAAACCCAGACCAATTGGGGCTATAAAACATCTGTGTTTTATAGCTTCCTTGTTGATTCTTTCTGTGTTTAAATCATTTAGCTAAATTTCTAAGTGAGAAATAATGTTTATTGGACCTGAAATAAATTTCTGCCACCAGCAAATACTGCATTATTATTTTTGGGGTGGATTGTGGTTCTTGTCGGGAAGGGGATGATAAAACATATTTGTGTCTGGGGTGCTTAATTGGCAAGGCCCGACCCTTCTCTTTGGCTCTGCCCAATGAATAAGGAAAACTATCAAAAACAGTTATTACAATTTAGTCTTTATGTAGAATTGAGTTTTACTGCACTGAGCCTGAAAGTTGTATTTCATTCAAAACCATGGGTAATTAACCTTTTAATGTTTGTTAATATAATAATATACATGGAAATAAAAGTTTTTATGCTTTGCTTAAAAATCAAACAGTTATAAAAATAAAGGATTATAAAAAGCAGGACTAAAAATAAAAAGAATGAACTTAGAGTGAACTTAGAGGAATATGAGAGCAGCAGAATGGTGGCAGAGGTAGCTAATGCATCAGTAAGGCCATGTCAAAGATCTCTATCACCAGAATTCATTGCACCACATTCCAAAATGACTATGAAACTTGGCTGCATACAAATTATGAGGTCAAATTCATATATGGCAAGCAGAATAAAAAAGCTGCAGTTCATTTTCTGTTTTGTTCCAACTGAAGAAGTGAAGCTTGTTGGAGGATAGAGGTACATGGAAGAACTTTCAGGCAGCAGCACCAATAAAAAAAACAAAATATTTGTTCCCAAGATGTAAATAAAGTAGTAGCACAATGTCAGCTTTATGCAGATACAGTGCCATTTTTTAAACTTTATAAAGTATTACTAAGTTTTACATAAGGAGGTATATTTTATTCAAAGATAATACACAAACATTTCTTCTTTGTTATTTTATATTGAGTAGCATGCCAGTGTTAAAAAAAGACCAGTTCGCAAAGGAGGTCAATGTGACATTTGTAACAGAAAATTCTTGCAGCAGACACTGTCTTTATGATGAAAAATTATGTGATTTAATTGGTTCTGCATCTAGAAATGCTTCTACCCGAAAGCGACATCCCAGACTCTACAGACCTCAGTTAGCATGATAAATGTTAAAGTTTATGACAGTTTAATTAGAAAAAAGGAGGAACAAGTATGGCCTACTTTAGAAGGCTTTCATGAGGAGTATGTCTATTCTCCCTATACAAAAAATGTGCTGACATGTTTGCAAAGTTAGATCTTAAGAAACCACAAACATATCCTTTGAACAGATGAGACTAATATCAAGATGTGTGGATTTTATGCAAACCAAAATTCTACTGTAAATCAGCCGAGTGAGCTGAGCTCATTCGATTTAGCAAACACTCGGTATCTGTCTTACAGTTTAGACAAATTATGTAAAACTGTATTAAACCCTTTTGCAAAGTTAAATGTTAAACTAACTGAAGAGTCATTATAAATGGTTATAGTGCAAATTGAAAAGAAACGTTACTTCATTGTGGTCTGTTTTAGCAAAATTGAATAAACCTCAGCTAGAAGATTTTTGAGTTTTAGTTTACAGTGTTGTGAAAAAAACACACTCCCCACAACAGACTTAAGCAAGAACATCATGCTCTCCACACTGAAAGACCAGGGTTTCCTCTAAAAATAGGCTCTGCATTGTCCCTTCTTGTAAACAGCATTATTGTTATATTTTGTTTGCACCCTAGTCTGTCATCCAGAGTCCTTTCTATAAATCCACTCCTCAAATCCATAATCATTCCACTGGACTTCCTTCAACTGAAGATAAGATGAATGTCATAAAACAGTCCACTCAGTTTCTGACAACTGCAGTATTATCAGTCCATTGTCTGCAGATGAGGTGTTATTGTAATAAGTGTTCAAAGTGCTGTGCCATGTGTTGCTTCTGTACAGCTAACTACAGGATCAGATATTCATTATCAACATATTATTCACAAATAAACACACCAACAAATATGTACAGTTCTCTTCAGTTGTCCCCCCTCTGAACATAAACTAAGGGCTTATCTACACTTGAAGACGCTTGCATCTATGTTAAAGAGGCATCTAATTTACACACACAACAGCACACACACACATTATGATCTCGCTATATGTAGTTTCAGTTCAATTCAATTCAGTTTATTTATACAGCACCAATTCACAACACATCATCTCAAGGCACTTTACAGTTCACAAGATCATACTTTCAGATTGATTTAAAGTTTTCTATCTAAGGAAAACCAGTTGATTGCATCGACTCATTGACTCGGATGCAATCCCTCAGACTAAGCATGCTTGTAGCGACAGTGGAGAGGAAAAACTCCCTTTTATTAGGAAGAAACCTCCAGCAGAACCAGGCTCAGTGTGAGCGGCCATCTGCCGAGGCCGACTGGGGTTCAAGGAGACAGAAGCAGAGAGACAAAAAGCGACTGTAAAACACGGCCTCGTCCAGGAGACACACAGCCAGGCAGACGAGCTCTGAGCCAACTCCCAAGTAAATGTATGAAGAGAGCACATCCAGCCAGTCACAGACAACAGTGATTGTGAGGATCATGTGCTGACTTTGATTGTTCTTCAGTCACTTTCAATCCCTTCTAAGTGTGCCCTATCCCTAAAAATGACTCTAAACCTTAAGAATACCAGTGCATAGCTAACCCTAACCTTATCCTAAATTTAGTTCACAACTTAGTCCCAAACCTAACCGTTGGCAAAAAGGGAAACCAGGACCAGCAAAAAGTTTTCACTTTGGTTCAAGCGGGCCTCATTTTGATGATGTAATCTGTGAAATGGTCCTCAGTCTGATGCCTCATAGGAGCACCCAGAAACAAACACACATCCCACATACAGTCACACAGTACCCACTGGTGTAGTTTTGTGGAATTCACATGTTGTAGGTGGAGAAAAGTGGGCATAATGTTTCTTCACCACCCATATACAGGAATTAAATATTCTACAGCCAGCAATCAGAATCTGATCCCTTAGACTATAATGTTTTGGTGAAAACAGGGGTTAAAAAATGAAAGTTTTAGATAAATATTTATTCCTGCCTTTTTTATGCCAACCACTGTTGTTTATACATTTACATTTTTTTCTTCCCATTTTGTTGCATTAAATGATTGAAACCATCACTACAATCACACAAAGAATCCTTCAGTCAAAATGTTCTGCCTATTATTGTTGAGGATGGAAGTCTTAGGGTGTTTCTTGCATTGTAATTCCGGCTGAAATCTGTTTAATGGAGAAAGTCATAGTACATGACCCTCACAGTCTTTTCTTTATTTTATGTATTTCTTTCTTTATCTTCTGTATTAACTTATTTTTTTCAACTGACAGTTTGGTTTTTAAAACAGTTTTATAATGGCAACTCAAACAACAACCCCCTCACAACAGGCCAAATTAATTGGGTCCTGAACTAGTAAGAGTGTCTGCAGGACTTTCATGATGCTCAACATTGGCTAAACAACTCTGTACCAGTTAAGTAAAAAGAAATTGCATCTTTTGAGTGCTAGAAAAAGTCTAAATATCTTCAATGGTAGCTTAACTCAGTTGAAAATTTGCTGAAAGATACTACAAATCTGTCATGGCCTTTGGAAGTCTTATAATAACTGTTGTAGACAGAGGAGGGAGTGGAAGGTCAAAAGGGGGCATGGATATCCCCCAATGTGACAGCAGACAACAATGGGGCAGCAGCGTGATCCGTGACAGAGGTGGATGATAAATAGTTTAGGTGTGACAGGAGAGCCATGGGGCGAGGAAAAGTCTGGAGGTCTGTTTGTTTGGGGGCAGGATGTGATGCTTATTACTAAACCGAACCCGTAGAAAAACACATTACGTTCAACCCAATCTTCCATTGATCTCATTCTCCTTTTTTGATGGCTGTGATTTCAGACATTCTTTACAATGTGCTTCTTATAGGGTTCTACTGGAACTCCAGCTTTTCCTGCCAGTCTCCTTGTTGAGTCAAAATACCCCTCAATAATGCTCAGTTTTTTCAAGCAGTTCTCATAGATGAGTTCGAGGATTTATTGTTGGGGAAATATCTCACTCTATATGCAGCCATTGTGTTAGCACAATAGGACTTAAAAAATATGATTCAGGTACCTTTTAATGAAATTTACATCGTGTCTGGTTGGCAAAATTGAGTGCATCCCTGTCTGCAGCCTGGAAATCTCTAAAGGTGCTCTTTATGTTCCTGTGTCCACATACACATTATGCTCGTTTCCCAACTGAGAAATAGATTTATATACAGAACAAAGAAAGACCAGATAATCTTGACTGTTTCTCTAAAAAAATTAATAAGATATTTATGTTAGAGCTGCAATTCTATAACATAGATGCATGTGATTTCAGTCTCCAAATAGCCTCAGAAAGTAACATGGTCTTATGTTTCTAGCTGTAGTGGATAATTTAGCATGTGGTGCTTTTCCACCACCCTTTGCCTGTCCTTTTAAAATCTTAAAAAAAAATCTGAACAAGCTGGCAAAAAATGTTAAAAAACATTCCTTCTACCTGCATGTCTCAGAGAAGAATGTAATACTATGTTCCTGATCCATTGGTTGAGTGAACAAGGTCATAATAAAGAAACTTGACCAAGGAAAGCTTCTGCAAATAAGATCAATGTAAATACCTTTATAAACCAAAAAGACTTTTTTGCAACTCATACTTATAATATGTAAATCTATTGTTTATTTAATGTGGAATTGTCTGACCAATTAAAATGAGGTTGAATGAATCCATAGCAAAGACTGGAAATAGTGTTTTTCATAACTGCAGTATGCACCAATGTGTAATACTGGATTTGAAACAGGTTGCCTTTACTCTTTATTTCTACAATAACATGAATAATTTATTTTATACTCACCTTTCTGGAGGTGGGCTTCCCTCTGAAGAATTCATGATTGAGAGAGCTGTGAGGAGGATTAAACTTGGGTTGCAGAAAAATGCAGCCATTGGCTATCGCTTCTAAAGGAGCCGGGCCTTCATATGGGAAGCCAAATCCAATGAATAGCTTACAAGAAAAACAGACAGAAGATGTTTTGTGAATACATACCTTATGGATGCTTACTTACTTAAGTCAAATTCATATATGCATAAAGCAAATTCAATTACTGAATAATCAATAATTTTGACTGACCTTTGCCTTTCTGAGGAGCTGCTGCAGCTCCTGCTGAGGTAACAGACCATGATTCTTAACAAAAGCAGGGACCTCTGGGGGGCGCTGCGTCTCAAAGTACACAGTACCATGGATATCCATGTAACGATGCAGGATTGCCAGGAAATTTTCTTTACCCTTGAAGATCAAGAATAAAGAAAATAGATAATCTCTTGAAAGAGCTGCAGTCAGTTAATACAATGGTTCTTGTGTGCAGTAAAAAATATAGTTAACAATGTTTTTGATTAACTACATTATTATATCATATCATTTGTTCAGTCTTTAAAAGCCCACAACCAAATCTATGGAAAATTGTATTTTCTTAGCCACATTGTATTCATTTCAATCTAATTGAAAGCAATTAATTAACTGAAAAATATTATGTGCATATATTAGGGAGATATTTTAGTGCAGCTATTAAATCTATATAAACAAAACAAAACAAAACACTTTTAAAAGGTTTCCATAAAAAAAACTAAATCAGAGAATGCAATTAACGTATGTCTTCGGCTAATATTTAAATATTTATTCTACAGTTTATTTGATTATTGGTTACATTATTTGATTTAAAAGAGTATTTTAATGTAAATTCCAATCAAATACACCTAACTGGTATTACTTATACTGTATATTTAGCATTAGCCTTATGGATTAATTTATTTGTATATTTGTATAAACTAATGTAATAAACTACATAAATGCTATAGCTCCAGCGGTTTTAAAAAGGATCTTTAAGACAGTAGTCTTTGCTTTTATATGTCCATTCTTGTTTGTGTTAAAACTGTAGTATATTGACTTTATTCCCTGTAAATTGCTTGTTTTGCTGCACCACTCCCACTTTGACCATATAAATGAGCAGGACTGATCTATGAAATGATTGCACACACAGTTACTTTGGAATGGATAAAAGCCTGAAGTCAATGATAGTTGAAATGAGGATAAGAAGGAAATGTACTGAGATGAGTTTACCCTTGTCTACACCTTCACCATCTTGTCGATAACCACCCCAGTATTTGCGGAGTTTTATGACAAAAAGTAATATCAGTGCTTGTGCCTTGTGTTATATCGCTGGTGTCATTTAATTGAACATATTAACCGGAAAAAATAAAAAAAAAATGCCTTTGCTGAAATATTGCAAAAATGTATGCCTCAGAGACATAAATCATTTATACACGCCACTGAAGTGTTATCCCATTGGTATGTATTAGAGAATAATAATAAAGATACTTTATTGTTCGTTTTGTTTTTTTACATGCCATAACCATGGATATGTGTCTTAACAAATATTAAATATGAGGTTTTAGTGAACAATTTAAATCAATTATTTTCAGATTAATCACCATGCAAATAACAACTGTAATTATAAAAATAACACTAATCAGAATATTATAAATTTTTATTGACCTACTCAGGTTAAATTCATATTTATACAAAAATATTTACAATATTTACTGATGTGTGTGTCCAGCACCTCACTAATTACAGAGGCAGGTCTCAACCACTCACAGACATCAATACCTCCTATAGGCTGAGGAGCTCCTTCATTTTCATGCATGTTTTAAAACTGTGATAGACAATGGTACCACAATTTCCCCTCTCCTTTTTGATACAGACCATACACTCAATGCTGTGGTAGAAAAAATAAGACAGATTATTGGTCTGTGAAGGTCAAGCATGTCAACAGAGGATACTATTGTCACACCCGTGACACATCTTGATAAGAGACAGACCAGCGTAAGACAGCTGTCCACGTTATTAAGCAAATTCTAACTCTGTCCTAACATATTACAGTATGCGACTGAATCAAAAGGCGTTTCTCAATTCACAAGAACGCGAGTACATACTCGCGTTTTCGTCAAGTCCGTTCTTGGCGAGAACGCAGGAAGATCGGACTTGACGAGAACGCAAGCACGCAAGCACGTATGTGTATTGGAGCAGAAGCGTACTCGTGACGTCATCACAGGCAACGTTGTTTAGCATTTCTTTAACTGTCAAAACTTTTTATTCCCTACACAAAACATTTTGAAAACAATATTTTTAATTTCTAAAGCTTAAAAAACATTAAAAAAAATTACCGAACCGCAAAAAACCGCCATCAGAACGAGCGGTAGTTCACACATAACTAGACCGAGAGAATTGCAGTACAGACAGGGTAAATTTAGCCCTGGCTGCGGTTACCCTCGGAGGTCTGCTGGTCACTCTGGTCCGCTCAACGTCGGACTTTTTTTTTAATTTCGCACTAACTCTGTAGACAGACCACACAGGGAGGCTTAAATGTATAATGTTATCGCCTCAAACGATTTCAAAACGTACTTTTGAAGAACAACAGCAGCAGAAAAGGGAATGTTTAACTTAACACTGTGAGCGCTGTCTCGAATCAAGCTGCGGCCGCGGGGCATTCTGGGAAAGCGGTCAGTCTGAAGAACGCACAAGTCTGCTCTGATGCATGCTCGATAAAGAGGGCGGGGTGAGAACAGCATCCGGGGATTTGATGCGTTCTCGATCTGGCGTTCTTGAGAATTGGAACGGTACTCGGGCTGAGGCTGATGACGTGTCACGAGTACACGAGCACACGAGAATGCTCAAGAACGCATATTGAGAAACGGTGAATGTCTTGATGATTGACCATCTACAGATTGGGGCATAACTGACATATCTTCTTGGTTTCAGCACTGGGGCCCATTAAGGTTGTATACTCACTTCTTTTGGATACTTTATCTACATACATGACTGTATCTCCACCCACCCCAAAATCATATGATGACATTTACTAAATTAAACCAAGAGACTGAAAATAGCTCTTCCACCAAGTCAGCCGTGTTTGTTTTGCTTTATCCTGTTGCTTCTGGTTGACCTCACAGATATGACTACAATTTAATGGTTTGAAACATTTCTGCCTGCGTTTATTGTCTTTGGGCAAAATTTATTTTCAGGAGCTTATAAATTCACAAATCTCACAGCAATTCAGCTTGCTTGGAAGGTAAGGTCAGAGGGCCCAGTGGCACCTGCGTATAGCAACCTTACTTCTGTCAGTGAGCCACAGGGCAGCTGTGGTGCAATATAGCTTAAACACCATTAAAGTGTGTGTGAATCGGTCAGTAACTGAATGCAGTGTGAAGTACTTTATTTAAGTCCCCCGACTTGAAAAAAGGGGCTATATAAGTACAGAACATGTACTGTTTATAGTTGAAACTTGGACACAAATAAAAACACGACAAACTTAGCTTCAGAATGTGTTAAAGCAGGCTAAAATTAAGCTATTTAACTGGATCTAGCCTCCACTCTATAAAAAAATGAGTACACCAAGTGTCATGGTTTTGGTTCTGTTTAAGTTTTCTTTTTCAGTTTTCATTGATTTCATTTCCAATTTGTGTTAAACTAGTTGTTTTTGGTTGTATTTGAGTTCTTGTGAATTTCTTGTTTACCCTCTATTGTCACCTTGTGTCAGTCTCCTTCCCGTAGCTCCCTTCTAGATGCTTCCATCCACCCCTGTTCCTCATCTGCTGATTAGCCCAGTCTTTGTTCAGTCTTCTATTTATTCTTTATTGTTTTATTCTTTGGACTTTACCTTCTGCCAAAAAACTAATCTCTGCCTCCTTCCATCTCTGCATTTGGGACATCTTCAAACCTCCACTTAACCTGACACCAAGCAGGTCCATACCAACGAGTCAAAATGAATGTATTTATCAACATCATAGCAGATAAATAACTGAGATCCTTAAACCAAAAATTTATTTACTGTGATAAAGGTTTGTAGATTTTCTAGTAAATAAGGGGCAATTTACCAAAAAACTCATGAAGTTGTGAGCATATCAGACACTTGAATCTTTAGTAGTAAAAAAAAAATTGTATACTGGGGTCCTGTTTTTAAAATGATTGCACTTTTTGAATGAGTCACTGTGAATGCATCATTAGAAGTCCCTAATTATACAATAGTCAATTTATACTGTATAATTCCTCATTAGAACTAAAGTTCTTTGTACAAACTTTCATTTGCTTTGATAACCAGTTAAAGTAGAGAAATTCGTATTTTGTAGGCATCAATATTTCTACTAAAACCCTACTTTGATAAAATAGTTTGGAGAATCAATAACTAAGCAACAATACTTACTTGAAGCTTTGTAGGTCCATCAATAATATGTCCGGAAAAGTACAGAAAGAACAGTACATTTTGAAAGCAGGAAAAAGAGAAGTAAAAAGAAAAAAAAGAAAAATTAGGAGAAAAACAAAATATTTAGCATTTATTGTATTATATACATCAGCAAAACTGGTATTTCTAACTTGGCCCTAAACATGAGGTAAAGCAAGGTAATCTTAGAGGGAACTGTTACTCCTGCACTCTAGCTCTGACACTGAAAATCCTCAGATTCACCAAAGTTACACTGCTGCTCACATTGCTCGGAGGAACAAGGAAGGCTTTGGCAGTGAAGGAACAAAGCTGCTGCCGGTTTCAAGCAAAAAAAAACAACCCTTCAGGGAGGCAGCAGCACGTCGAAGTTGCAGGAGGAGTGAGAGAGAATGGCAGAAGCTTGGAGGGAAACTTTACTCCAAACAAGTGCAAGTGTTCCTCCAGCATCACACTTCAGACCTGATTCTTAGAGGAACATCAGTATCTCAGTATCAGGGATACAGGGAATGTAAAATCCCATGGGTTTTACAGCTACTGAAACAAAATCTCATTATTTATCACATATAATATATCTCTTAGAGCCGTGTCCTTATAATGTCCTTACCTTGGGATACAGAGATTTGGAAAAATTTTGAAACCACTTGCATTTTTGCACATTTGGTCATTCAACAACCACTTACTGTAACTCAGTATATTATAACATAACTCTATATAATGAAATAACACCAAGCAGGACATAAGTTAAAACAAACACACACACACAC